GGAGAAAGAGGAGGACACTATCAAACTGGGATGTGGGACCAGTGACGTGGGATTGCAGTCACAGACGTGGGATATGGAGATGTTCCACGCTGAGAAAGAAATGAGCCACTGGCACTGACATAGCGGGCTACAGTAGCAAAAAACTCAGGGGATTACTGGAATTACCTGCTGAGGAGCATTTTCCCCAGCTGGTGTCTGTGGGACTGGTGTTTCCAAAGCTCAGGACAGATACCAAAGCAGCACGGCAATTGCAGTCCAAAGGAAGCTAAGTGAAACAAAATGCCCCAAAGCATCAAACTTTAACCATCCCAGTGCTGTCAGAATTCTTTGGTGATGTGTGCATGTGCAGGATGATGTATGATGTGTGCAAGAAAATCCCTTATGTCAGAGAACCCCTAGGTGCTGTGCACACAGCAGGCCAAGTCTGGGGACTTTCCAGGTGTGCTCTTGGATTAGCAAGCAGATGTTTTCAAAGAGGTGTATGGGAAATGTGCACCGCAGGCCAAATGACTGCACAGTCACCTCTCATACATCCCTGAGATCAAAACCTGTCACTCGCCTTGAAAGATAGTGTTATCCTGTTAGAAGGGGGGGTAACTTGTCTGGACAAGTTTTAACATTCCCAGTTCCCTGCACTTGTGCTCACAGTAAAGCAAGTTTCACCCCAGTGAAATGCATAGAACTCTGGAAGATGACTGCTGTGGGCTTTTGCATCTGGGCATCCCCAGGGACTCTCTCAAGGAGCCTCTCTGCCCAAGCAGTACTGGAAACCCAGGTGCCAAGGTTCACCAGTGCTTCCAGGTTTCCCAGTGCCAGGGAGCTGTCTTTGGGGGTCTGGGGAGCAGAATGGGCACATACCTGCTGTTCTGTCCAGAGAATTCATCTAACATCACAAACTGGATGCAGGTTTTCAGCTGGTGTGGTGCCATCGCTCAGCTGACTGCATGAGAGAGCATCTCTGTGCCCCCTGGGAAGGACCAGGCCCCCATGTGAAAAGGGCCAGGGTGGAGGGCAGGGCTGTGGGGATGTTGTGCAGGACTTAAACCAAGCAGGAGTTCTACATCTGTAAAACAAGCTCTAAACTCTGTATATATTTGGAGCTAAATTTAACCCCAGTCCTTCCAAACCTGTGCTCATGTAACTGGAGGTCTGCCAGACTAGCCCTCTGTACATGTGTGATATTTTAGGAACAAGCAGGGAGGTTTTTTCCCCAGAGTTTTTGCCAAACCTCAGCTTCTGAGTATGAGGACACAGTTAGGGAGCAGGATCCTGGACGGGATCTCACTACATGGCCCAGGGAAAATAAACCTGAATGAAGCCCACTGTTGTTGGATGGTTGCAGGCCCATGGGTCTCCTGGGCTTGCTGAACTGCCCAGCATCATGGCACTGCAGACTGTGGTCAGGCAGGACTCGGTACTGACCCTTCCTGGTCCCAGCGCAAGTTGTGAGGGAGCCCAGGATTCCCAAGCTACTCTGGGCACTAAGCCACTGGCCTCCTTCCCATTGGCCATAATCACTGGTTTGCTGGAAAATTTACAAGACCTGCTGTAGTGATACTCGTGAATATAGGAGCTGTTGTAAATGTAATTTGTTTCTAGGGTTTGACAGTGGTTATCTGAGTGACTTCAGCCACCCATCATTCACAGTGGTATGACAGTGCCTCTGTGGATGGACTCAGATTAGGCATGAGCTTCTGTCAGCAGTTGCAGATCCATCCCTGATTCTCCTGCTGTTCAGCTTGTGCCAGGAAGCATGGCAGTTAGTCCCTCTGCTGTAGCATTTATTGCTGGAAATGTTGTTGCTCTCTAACCCTTTTTTCAAGGTTATTACAGTATTTAGCTTGGCTGCTGCAGTCCGCTTTGATAGTTGTATTTGCAGCATGTGATATGGGGTAAAAATAGACAGTGTTTAATTAGAATAATCCCTGGAGAAACACAGATCCCTCAATTTCACAATGAGTTGCTCCCCTCACAACATGGCAGGTACATTTCAGCTCAGCAACAGTGTGTCAGGCTAGACCTCCATCAGCTGCAGAGAGGCTGTGATCAGACAGGCCACAGGAAGGCTCCTAAGAAAAGCCTTGAGAGCTTTTCACATCCCAGGAGACAACAGCTCCTCCAGGCTGGATGCTTAGGTAGGGTTTGGGTGACCACCACTAGCAGCTTCTGCATTTCTGTTTAGCTTTTCATCTTCTAACCTCCTGTGTGGGTGTGTGAGCAAAATCCCCGCCCTCATCCATTGCTGGAATTTCTGGGAATTGGGCAGACTCTGACTGCAGCATGGTGGTTTGGGGTTTAGGCTGGTGATGATGCCGGAAATAGTGTTTTGCAAGCAGCAGCGTGCAGCAGCCTGGCGGTCAGTCGGATTCCAGTGGGCTATCATTATCCTGTGAAACATTCCTGGGGTCTGCAGCGGGGCATGGCGGGTGAGGGCCACCAGTGGCCTTTGGGCTGCCCACCATCCCAGCTCCATCCCACAGAGGGAGATGAGTCAGGTCCTGGAGAGCAGTCCAGGCCCTCCCACAATACCCAAACCATAGCCAGAGGCTGAACTCCAGTACAGGTGATGAAGTGTAAGAGGTCTGGATGGTCTGCTGGTGCTGCTGGCACCCCCTGCTCCACACGTGGCTCCTGAAGTCCTGCTAAACCCCGTGTCCATGTCCTGAGTGGCTCTGGAAACTTCTTGTTGGAGAAGATGGGAGGGCTGGGGAGTAGCTTCGCTTTTCCTCTGAAGGCCTGCCAAACTGGGCTTACTATGGCTTTGCCCAGACACACTGAATCAAGCTCTCCAGGGCTTGGTTTTGTTTCATTTATTTGTTCAAGACTGAAAAGAGATACACAATCAAATATGTGAGGTGGGAAGTTGTTTGGACATCTCCATGTGCTCCCTGGGCACTGGAAAGTGTCCTCAACTGACCAGAACCCCCTGTCCTCCAGGCCCATGGTAAGCCCCGAATGCTCAGAGCTGTGCTGGGGATAGTGAGTGCTCTGTGTGGGACACATATTGCCTCCCTCCCACAAACGGATGGAAATATTTCTGTTTTCCAAAATTAGTTTCCAAATGTGTTGGAATTTCCTTTCCATAGGGATTCTTGAAAATCTGGTCCTCATTGTAAGAATGGCAACATTTTCCAAACCCCCTTCTCTGGAATTCCTCACCCAAAGCAGGTGGCAGGTTTCAAGCATTGCTGTTCACAGGGTAGCTCTCAGGATTACCCTGCTAAGAGGCTGAGGCAGGGGCTTAACGTTTACCATGTGGCTGATTGGGTTTTCATTCTGAGAATGCTTTAGCTGATGATTTAGAGGATGCTTCTCATCTCCACAGAGACCGGACTGCTTGGGGACCTGGCTGTGTTCAACCCCATGGACATGCGCAACCCCACATGAGTCACTCTGCTTACTTAGCATGACACCCTCTGTCTGCCTACAGACAGTTGTGCACCCAGACTATGTGAATACAATGAGAGTACTTTACAGTAAGGCAATGTGTCAATAATCTGATTTCAGAATGACGTATCTTATTTTCCATGTCTTCTGGTACCATCTGGACCTCTGAGGAAATATCTGGAGCAGCCTGGCGAATTCCCAATCACACATCTGAAAAGAGTTATTTTCAAAAGGCCAGAAAAACAACTGTTTGTGAGGGCTGATTTCGGATTCTGACTTCACTTTGAGCAGTGGGTCCTCATCAGTTTGGTTACCAGGGTCATGAGTTTCTACAATTTATGACACAACTCAAGCTCTAGACAGAAAACACAACTGCCTTTCAATATGAAGATGAACTCTTTAGCCCTAAACAACAAGGCAGATAATTTTATTTGAAGCCTTGGTTACAGAAACTCTTTGTTTGAAATTATTTCAGAGAAGCATTACCTCATTGCACCAAACAACCAGCTTCAGCGGGCACCAAGGCACCATCTATGACCAGGCCTATTTTGGGAGTCTGATCCCAATGGCTTTTTTTGATCAGAAGTAGGTCAGATTTTATTCCTTTTCCAGCAGAAAAAATAAGAGAAAGCTCAAATACACCAAAACCCAGGAGAAATTGTTGCTTCTATTTCTAGAAGCTCTGCCAGAGAGAAGCTGCTTTGTACTCAAGCTAACTCCTCTCCTAACTTTACCATATGATTGATGACTCAAATTACGAGGTTTTGTTTCCCATTTCTACCTGAGATTTCCTGTCTGGGCTCTTCCCAGATGCAACGAGGAAGGTTACCACAGAGATATTTATGGACATATAACTCTAGCTGCTAAATTTGTAATTGCCCAGCCCCAGGGCGGAACATCCTTTTAGCTGAATCATGGCTGTAAGAATACAGCGCATACCGTGCAAAACTGGCCTCACTTGCAACACCACTCACCTACTGTGCTGGCTCCTTTGCGTGATGATGTGCAACAAAATTATATTAGACTTTGTGATTGCTGAGTCTGAGTCAGCAGCACTGGGTGCCATGGTCTTCCATTTTCCCTCGTCCCCAGTATGCCCAGCCTTGTGCTGGCATGCTCCTGTCCTTCAACCGCTTCTCCTGGAGGGACTTAAACATTTGGGTTTGATCCTTTTGGGTTTGCTGAGAATTCACATTGCCTAGAGCATTTTTCCTTGGAAACGTCCATTTAGAATCAGCACCAGCAGTCTCTCTGCATTGCACAGCCTGCATATGAGCCAGTGGGTTATACATGACCTGTGTGTAAGATGCTGAAGGTGAATCTCAGCTCAGCACCAGAGCTGAAGAGCTGGCTTATGCTGGAGATGTTCCTGGTCAAGGAGCTCTGTCTGAATAGCCTGGGATCCCTCCTGCATGTCCCAGCCATGCCCCTGTTTGAATGCCAGTAGGGCTGATGGAATGAGCCCAAAAGGTATGTGCAGACCTGTGACTTGGACCATTACCATGTGGATCCATTGAGTAAGATACCAAGTCACCTTTGCTAATCAACCTCGGTTGTAGCTAGATCCAAACTCCAACCCGGTAAAGGCACACAAATATTTGTTCTCTCCACAGCAACCACATGGAAAGGATGATGGTGGGGATTGGCCCATTTCCAGAAAGGAGGACTCCACACATCCCAACCTAACAAGGCTTGGATGCTCCTGTGTCCTGGAGCAGGAGGCCTGGTCCAGGAGATATGAGCACAAGCGTGCCTCAGCTCCCTGCCTGCAGTGCCTGTGTCCTTCATCCCTGGTGTCTGAGCTGTCAAATCCTTCCATATTCCTGCCCTAATCCACCCTCAGCAGTGCTTTCTGCTCCTGCCAGAGGCATCTGTGACCCTCATCTCAGGAGTGCACCGTGGCAGAGCATGATGCACTCGCTTGGTCAGGTGGCTGTCCCACTCCCATGGATGCTGCAGGGACCCAGCATGGGTGACCACAGCCCTGGGCTCCTCCACCAGCATCCCTGCTGCAATAAGGCAATGTTCATGGCCAGGGTTAGGTGTGAGCACTTTTATTCATGTACAAATAGCCACAGCTGAAAGAGCAAATGCTCAGGGAAGAGAAAGTGTCCTCTTGCTGCCAGAAAACCACATCTGAGTTCATTTACCACTGAAATGCCACAAATTATCATCTCTGCAGTCATTAGGCAACATTGCAGTCAGCATATCAGCTCATTAATGATTAAATAATTCCAGTTGAGCCTGAGCCTATCAATGTGGTGTGTGCAACCGTGAAAGAGCATAGGGCCACTGGAATGAAATCCTGCTGTCTTGTCCCACCAGCCTGGTGGGAAAGGTCATGAGGACCCAGCTTGCTCACTTACAACATTTGAGTTGAAATGGTGGTGGCCCTGTGGAAGAAATATGCCTATATCCGTTAGCAGTGGGATCCTTCCCAGCTCTTGGGAAGGCTGTCTCTTGTAAGAGGCAAGTCGTTATACTGGAGATGTCATGGACATGAGGATAGTCTTGGTTCCTCCCTGTAAGCATGGCCGCAGGGATTGCGGACACCACGTAGGCGTTTTCCAGCACAAGGAAATGCACATGCAGGAGGCTGAGAGGAGAAACCATACTGTTGGCAGTCACGCTGAAGCCACAGGTTGTGAAGAAACCACATAACCAAAGGCTGGCCTTGAGAAAACATCCAGATCACCTCCCCCTGCAGCCAGAAGCCACCACTGACCTGCTCACAACAGACACTTTTTTCTGTGAGCTCGCACAGACCCATGGGTTTCTTCTCCTTGGTAAACCTATGATGTCCCCAGCAGGGAAACCCTGCCACCCCAAACTGCTCCTGTGAGCTCAGCTCCCAGCTGAAAAGTATCTGAATAGTCCTATGCCCTGGTCTTTCCTACACTTTGCCAAAACATGACGGACCTGAGAGCATACCAGGAAGGATCTGCGGGTGCCAGTATGAAGGTGGCATTGTATTGAGCAAAGTTTGTCCTTTTTGCCTGATTCCCTTACTATAAATAAACCTAAGAGCTGAGGGATAGCTTTGTCACTGTTCCCCCACTGTCTTCCTGTAGCTTTTTTAGACAAGACTTTGTGTCTCTTGATCCCAGGGAGGATAATCACTTCCATTGCTGTTGGCAATGGGAAGAGCTGGCTGCCCTCAGTGCTCGGTAGCTTGAGGCTGAGTATTCTCTCCATTCCCTTGGAGAGAGCAAGAATTATTTACTGAGGGAAAGATCCTCATTACAGCTGGAACATGTCCCAGGGACCAGTGACCTCGAGAAAAAGCAAATCTAGTGATGAAACCAAAAACAGAGGTGAAAAGGTCAGCCTGGTGATGGGGTGCTTGCCCAAGCCAAGCCCCATCACTAATGGTTGATATGCTGCCAGGCTCAGGGACCGCTGGAGGAGCAGGAGCAGTGTGTGTGATATCGGGGCTTGTGCCCCAGCTCCAGCCCTGTGCTCTGCAAACAGGAAGCTGTCAAGCTGCTGCTGAATAAGTCATTTTGGGGAGTTTGTACCAAACTGGCTTTCAACTCCTGAATGTGTAGGAAGGAAAAAGCTGTGAATACGCCTTTGTGACCAAGTTTGGCACCAGCCGCACTCTGCAAGAGGGACAAGAATGTGGCCATTTAGAGGGGAGTCAGCTGCCCTTTAAGAAATTAAATGATCCCTTCCCTTTCCTGCGAGGCTTTATTGAGGGGTGAATAGGAATGAGACACTGAGCAGTTTCTTTCTCTTGCTGGCACAGAGGGCTGCGATCCAAGTTGTGGATGCTGGAGCACAAGGAGAGACCCCATTCCAGGGAAGCTGCACAGCCCAGCAATGAGCCCATCTGGCTGATCCCTCTCTGCAGGCTGACTGCTCCAGGAGGAATCGGACTGAGGCCGTGAAGCTCCAGATCTGGCCTTTCCCGGAGGACCATGTGTGCCCTGCAGTGATTTCGTTGGGACTCCCGCAAAACATCTGTTCATCTCCTTCACAGGGCTTGAAGGGGTTTTGGAAGCAAGCAGTTTGGAATGTTTTGCCCTTTTCTGAAACAATTCCCCACCCAGTGTTTGAGAAGTTTCTGTACATTACATTAAAAATGGACTGTGTCCAAACGTTTGTGGGGTTGGTTTTTTTTTTTTTTTTTGAAAGGCTTAGATATTTTGTACAGATCTTTCCTTTGTGGACAAGGAAAGAGGCTTTGTTGCAATCTGGAATGAAGACACGCTCTGTTTTATGAAATCCTCTGGGAGGCTGGCCTTCTGCTCTCTGTCTAGTTGAAGCTTTGGCTATATTCACTGGTGCGATTGTCACATCCAGTGAAAGAAGGAACAGGTCCCTGGGGCAGACAGACTTGCCCCAGCCAAGGCTCCAAGAGGACAGCTTGGTCACGTGTGTACCCAGAAGTTTTCCAAAGAGTGACTTAGGAGTTTTCTGAATCACTGGCTTTGGGACCTCACAAGTCCTGAAGCAGTAGGAAGCTCCAGATGATTTCAGATTGCTTCACGTGCCAGGAAAAAGGAAAAACAAGCAAGGCAGATATTCATAGGTTGGCTAGTGCTAAACTGTATTGCTCCACTGGGATCAGTTGCTCCAAGTGTAGACTTCTTAAGAAATACTTGTAATAAAATAGATGCAGGGGTCTTGGGTGGGAGTCAAGATTAATAATCGCTTTCTTCTCGGGTTTCATTCCTTTCTCGTCTTCCCCCTGGCTTGGCATAAACACAGTATTGATTAAGAACTTTGCTGGTGGTTTCATCTTCCTACCAATAGCTGCAGAAGGTCTGGAAAGAGAGACAGCGCCTCCAGTGCTTCCTCATTGCAGTCAGCAGGAGCTTCTTTAGCTTCTGCACCAAAAAGTCTGCTGGAAAACGGGGAGTCTTTACAGCTCAGTGTGTTATGACAGATGTTTGTAGGCTCACTATTGATGGAGTTTAATTACAAATAACCTTTCTGTTCCTTTTTTCATAGTGCCAGTGTTTCAGTGTACAGGATGCATCCAGCATCCCATTCTGGATCCTTGGCAGAGGGAAGAGGCAGAGAAACTGGAGAGCCCAGTGAAGGGGCCACTGAGATGGCTGAGGAGGAGAGGCTTTGCTCACCCTGGAGAATGAGGTGGAAGGGATTGAAACACATTTTGCATGGCCCATGAGGGACAGAGAGATCCTGCAAGGGCAGGAAGCCACCACAGTGACAGGGCAATCCAACTGGACATGAAGACAGGGCTCTTCTCTGTGACAGCAGCATAGCCCTGGGGCACGACCCAGAGAGGTGGTGGGACCTCCATGCTTGGAGGTCTTCAAAACTCAGCAGCAAGGCCATACTCTAGACATACCAGAGACACATCTCATAACACCTTTGGAAGCTGATAACCACCTCCTCTTCCTTGTCTCCTGTTTCAACCTGAAAAATCAGGAATAGTACAGAAGGACCAAACTAGCAAAGCAGTGATAAATTGGGAAGAGGAGCCAGCTTTCCAGCTGTACTTTTTCCCAATTTAGCAGGCAACAGTGGGAGACTGATAAAGTTTAGACCAGAACCCATGAAATTAGAGTGTTTGGAATACTTTTTACACTAAATACTATTGTTCCTTAAGTCTAACTAACTACAGTGTGAAATTATAGTTGCTGGAGAGTGGATCTGTGTTACTAAAACAGGGAGAGTGGATTTTACTTTGAATTTCAGACTCTTACTTTGTCTTTGCCAAAACTATTCTTAAAGATTTGTTTAAAGATTTACTGGTTTTACACAAAACCCTGTTATTTCAGCCAAGCAAGTTCTGTACAAAGTTGTTGTCAGTAATGAATTCCTTTTTTCTCCAGTTACTGAGTTTGTATTTTTTACATCAATATAGCACATCTCTGCTCTTTCTTTAAAAATATAATTTATTTTCAACAGACCAACCAAAATTCCTTGTATCTTTTATGAACTCCTTCAGTTCATTTATGAGTAACTGAACTGGAAATGTTTTGGTTTTTTTAAATTCAATTCCCTTTTAGTTGATACTGATGATGAGATGGTGAACTTCATTGTGGCTAATGCTGGGTTTGGTCCATGATGCTCTCCTTTCTGAACTGAACTAGATCATTCATTACTGACAATTTTGAATGTTCTCCTTCAAGGCTTGTCCCCAGCAGCAGATTGGAAGCCACCTGGGCTGGCCTGGAGGGATGCAGTCACTGGCTGCAGGCTACCAAACCTTGCTTGTTCACCTGACAACATTTCTCACAGTGCTTTGGGGGCGGGCTTCTTTGGCATCTGTCAGGCTAATGTGCTGTGTTCCTACCCCTTCCCCTTGTACACCTCTTCTTCATCAGCATGAGTAACTTTCCCTTCTGGCATCCATTCCCCAGTAGCAGGAGTTGAACATTTAAATGGAAGTCACCATTCAAAACTTAGGCACCCCAGAATGACAAATCACCAAGTCAAAGGTAATCTGTGCCATTTGGATTCGGCCTCTTCCAAGCTGCATTCTGATAGCAAGGTTTGAGCACACGCTTGGCGACTACACTCTGTATTTGACTGCTTTACAAGGGCCCTCGTGTGCCTCTTGGAAATAAATCTGTTTAGTTTTGACATTCTAAAGCAATATTATTTCATCTCTTGTCAGTAGGGGACTGGAAAATGATAAGAGTCTTTCAGGCAACATAACAGATATTCTGGGAGTTTCATCTTACTTCTTCCATGACATTTTTATTTCTTCCATGTGAAACATATATACGTATGAATATAGATATGTTAGGAGTTCCTTTTTTTTGTTGGAGCAAACTGGGGCGGAGGAAGCCATTTTGCTAAGTGCCATTTCTTAAGTATTTTGGAAATAACAGCCTTCTTTACACATGCTTTGTTCCTTTTTTTTTTTTTTCTCTTCCAATGGGTTGACCAAATGAAAATTGCCATTTTGATCCCAATGGATTTTCTGGGTGAAATACAGTTGAAAACAAATACTGCTGTAAGGGCTGGCCATTAAATCCTAGTTTTATATTATTTCCATTCCTCCACCTCTTCCTGGCACTGCAAACACACACATTCCCTGTGGCTAGAGCTAGGAATGATCAATTGTCATTAATCTGAGCAGAAAATGAAGGGATTGAGTTTTGATGTGATTTCCTCGTGCTCTGCTGGGCAGCAGCTCCTGTGGCTCTGAGCAGCCTGGGGCACCTCCACCTTCCCAGATCCTCAGCATCTTGGCTCCTCTCCCACCTTGTCTCCTGGTTTTGGTCCCCAGCCCCACATGGACCCACTGAACACATCTGTGAAGTGAATCCTGGTTTGGGCTGAAAAAGCAATGGACTGGGGTGGTGGGTTAACTTTTAGGCCTCTTCCCTGGGCTCCAAGTCCTGGCTTAACACCACACCCCTGCTTCACGTGCAGCCCTGCTGCCAGCTCAGCCGCAGCACATCCAGGCTGAAGTCACCTCCGCGTCCCTCCTTGCCACTGCGTGATCCCTCATAATAACTGCACTGCCTGCTGGCGCCTGAGGGTGACAGAGGCTTCAAAAGACTTTCTGGCCAGCGTTAGCTTTTTGAACTTAATGTAAATTGAGTGGATTATAAGAAATTCAAGTTGCAACATAGCTACTTGTTAGCAGAGGTTTGGTTTTTTGTTTGGTTTTTTTTTGGTGGGTTTCTTTTTTGGAAAGCAAAAGGCATTTCATCTGCACTCCAAAAAGTGTCAATATTTTTTTTGCAGGTCAGCAGCACCATTCTCAACTTGGCAGCCGATCTGGAGAGGAGGCATCTGTACTCAAAGCATATTGTGCCAACACTCCAGATCGATGGGCCATTAGCACCCACAGCAACAGAGAAAGGGCACTCTGAGTGTTCAGGCAGCGCTGCTCTTCCTGGGGTGAGGCTGGGGCAGAAAGCAGCAAAGCCAGCCTCACACAGGACCTGCAGGGTAGCAAGGAAGAAGGGGAGACCATTTCTGTAGCAGCTGGTGAACAGATACCACAGTACCAACCTCAATTCTGTCCACAGGATTCACACACGCACACACACCCTGGGCTGGGGATGAAAGCCTGACCTGCTGCTGGTACCCAGGAACCTGGTTTGTTCCGCAGTGAGGGGATGCTGATGATATCCAATCCACCCTCGATAGGCATTCCCAAAGGGGAATCCCCATCCTCATGCTGCTGGCAATCCCTTCTCTGGCTCCTGGCCAGGCCACCTGCATTTGAAACTCTCTGGGACTTCACTTGAGTTTCTGTGTTATTAATCCTCCCTAGAAGAAATCCCAGGCCTTTCTGGACCTCTTCCCTGTTTCCTAGGACAGCTGCCATGGCTGTGCCGCTGCTTCATGTCAGCACAGAAGGCACTGCAAAGCCCATGTATTTCCAGAAGGCAAAGAGAGCTCTGCTTTCCCCAATGAAGGCTACAACCTGATGCTCTCTACCGTGCTTACCAGATACTAGGATGCTTTCTTGCCCTAAACTTTGAACAAAGCAAGTCAAACTCAAATCATCTATCTAGATAACTGGTGATCCAGATAAAACCAGATGTCTGTGCTCCTGGTGTGTCCCAGCTGTCCTCACACATAACTGTCAGGCTGTAAGAAGGTAAGAGAGAAGGGGCTGCACTGGCTCATAGCATCGCACAGCTTCCTGGTGCCACGTGTCTAGCAGTAGCCATAAGCACATGCCACCACCACCATTTGCCTACTTGGGCATGTAATCAGTATAGAGCCTGGTTTCAGATGTGCATGAAGGAGGGAGAAAGAATTGTGGGTGCTGATGAAAACGAGGTGTTGAACAAACACGTGAAGTACCCATGGGCTGGTCTGCACCACTCCAGCTGGTACAGACCCACCAGGGCCTGGCTGTCAGCGGGCAGGCACGTGGTTCACCTGGCTTTGGAGGAGCAGTTTCAAGTGAGCTGCAGCAGTAAAAGTGCTGCACTTCATATGCTGATGGGTATCTATTTCATTGGGTCTTAACCATGTCTTGTGGCAAGATCACAGTTTCTCATGGGTTTCAAGCAGAAGGGAGGAAATTCCAGTTTCCAGCAAAGAACGAAGCAAATACATGTAATCACATGTTCATGTTAAACATAACAAGCACCAGAAGAGAGCTCTCTTTCAGCTGGTCCTCAGAGGCCACCTTTCAAGCAGAAGTACTCCCTGCAAGCATCCATGAGGGAGAAAACAAACAATGCTGCTGGGCTGGCTGACCTGCTCTGGACCAGAACTGCAGGTCCTCAGCACCAAACTGCTGCTGTGCATCTGCTCATGCCTCAAAGAGATGAAGTCAGAACCTGGCCTTAATTCACTCTGTTCCATGTATTTTAGGCTGATAGGACTCAGTGCACTGAAGGAGAAACACCCTGAGTGGTGATGGGAGCAACGAGGGCACATTCTTGACCAAGGGGGTAGAACTTATCTGAGTGGAGATACATGCAGCTGGGTAAAAGAAGGATCCTAGCACACAGACCCGGGGGGCTGGGGAGGAAAGCACTGGGAGAACTAGAGCGTGTGGGATGGGGTTAGCAGTGCGATCTGCAGCACTGTTATACAGGGGTGAGAAATCATGTTTCATTGACAGAGCTTTGTGGTTTTCAATAAATGCACGTGCTGTTGGCAGCAGGCAGCGGGAGAACAGGGGTAGGTCAGAGTCACACTCCAGCTCCAGAGCGTTCCTCCTGGGAGCTGCAGAAGGGCCCTCCGAGTCCACCTCTGCTGCATTACATTACTGGACACTTCTTTCCCTTGTTTATGTGGTAGAAACATCTGAAAACAATTTGTGCTTGTTAAGCTTTGCGGACGGTCAGGGTTCTATGTGCAGTCTGGTCTGCAGCTTGGCCAGCGCAAGCTGGGGCTGATCTGGGTTGGCTCATTAGCTAATGAGACGCGCTGTAGTTAGCAGGGCTCTCCGGGGGCTGCCTTCGACACGTGGGTGCCTTTGCGGTGCGCGGGCAGGGGTGGGTGCGGTACCAATGAGCTCACCCTCTGCAACAGCAGCTTTCCTGCTCCGCTCGCGTGCGGGTGGGCAGGGAAGACGCAATAAGATGGCAGGGAATATGCGCCCCCCCCAGTTATTACTGATATTAAAAGCATCTGCAGCTGTGGGTTGGGAAACTGCTGGAGAGGGGTGTGCATGCTGCAGGCTTGGCCAGAAATCCAGCAAACCTCTGTGTGAGCAATACATGCTGACCAATGCTCTGGAGAAGACGGATGGAGAAATCTTCGGGAAGGATCCCAGGACAAAGGCGAGGACGGCTGAGCAATTGAGGTGGGAGGATGCCATGCAGAAGGGGAAAATGTTTAAGCTGGGAGGAAAGAAACAGGTTAGAGAAGGGATGATAAGCTAACCACATGACTGGAGGAGGAGGTGTGAAGAACAGGACTAAGTGTGGGGGTGAATGAGGCAAGGAACAGGTAAAGTACAATGAAACAGCAAGGAAGAGAGGTGCAATCCAGCCAAGCATTAGCTGTGCTGTGCGACAGCAGTGCATGCCACCCCTGCGAGGCTCAGCCCTGAGAGCTCCCGTGGGTGCCAATGGGACGGGGGCAAGGAAGGCCTGGGAGCTCAGCAGTGCCTGTCCCTGCCGGCAG